GAATTCGAACCTAAAAAATAAGTTCAATCGATTAATTGACTGGAATATTCAAAACTATCAATTTAAAGTTCAATTTTCACGGTGTTGTAATGGAGCCATTAGATGGCTCGTCTTATGAGCCATATATAGTTATTCAAAAATAGTTATTGGCACATGTCCGACATTAAATACATATTAGACATATGTCAATACATAAAGTTATGGATGACTCCATAAAAAAGTCATATAGTGATTTCATATAATTTCTAGTGGTTTTCATCGGACAATGCTCGAAAGATAAGTTTAATTATCAATTTCGACATGAATCTAAAATCCATTTACTCACTCCAAAAAAAAAAGGGTGTTGTTATTTGTCGCCTCAAATTACTACTTGTCGCCCAAAAATAATATTAAAAAATTATAAATTTACAAAAATACCCTTATGGTAAAAAAAGTTATAGGAAAAAAATGCATTTAAACGTCCAGAAGCTAAGCTTGTAAGCCAAAGAATCGTCTAGAAGCTAAGCTTCTTAGTCACAGAAACGTCCAGAAAGGAAGCCCGACTGTGAAGACAAACATCCAAAGGCTAAGCATCAAAGCCAACCAAACGTCCAATGCGAAGCCCGTCTCTGAAGAGAAACGTCTAAATAAGAAGGGGCAACACATCTAAAACTTTTACATTGCAAGCATACTATGATGCACAACGTCTAAATGGAAAGCTTTAGGGCCTGAAAAACGTCCAGAGGCGAAGCTTATAAGGCAGTCAAACGTCCAACATTGATGCTCCCATGCATAAACAAACGTCCAGAAGCTACGCTTAAAAGTCAGGTAAACGTCTATGATGAAAGCTTCACTGTGAAAACAAACGTCCAAAAGCAAAGCTTAGAAGTCCAGTAATCATCTAACCAAAAATCTTTAAGTCGTCCAGGAGTTAAGCTTAAAAGCATACCAAACGTTTTCCTTGAAGCTTGCATATGAGAGTAAATGTCGAGAAGCTATGCTTGGTAGCTACGCAAACGTCCAACATGGAAGCTCCACTAAAAAGAAACGTTACCGTCCCAGCAGGAAGCTTATGTCCCTATAGAACGTATGATAGTTAAGCTTAAGTACCTATAGCATTTTTCTTATAATATATACTTAGTGGCGAAACTACAGAGAAGGTCGGAGAGGCGCCGGCCCTCCCAAAAGAAAAAAAATTTCGAACTAGGAGTTCATAAATTTTGCTGGAAATGGAAGGGCGCCCTTTGAGCGCCCTTCCGATGCCGGAGACAAGGAAGAAGACGCAGTCACGCAGGTAAGATTTTCCTAATTTTTTGAGCATCCCAAAAAACGATGTTGTTTTGGCTTCAATTTAATATTAAATTGAAGCCAAAACGACATCGTTTTGGTCTTAATAAGTAAAAAAAATAAAAAAAAAATTACAAAATAAAATTTTGATTTCTGCCCATTAGTCACAGAACCGCAGACTGCAGACACAAAGGAAAAGAAAAGGTTTACCTTCAGAAGGTCAAGATCCCCATTCCCCAATATCAAATTTGGTCGCCGGTCGCCCAATCTCTCATCTTTATTTTTCTGTCATTTTTTTGCCAAACGCTGCACATAGGAAAAGAAAAGGTTTGTTTGTTTGTGTCATTGTGTCATTGTGTGTGTGTGTGTTTATTTGTTTTCGGAATTGGGGGTGTTTTCCGTTTTAGGCTTTTAGCAAAATAGAATTGGGTTGGATGAATCATGTATATGATGTGTTTTTTGCTGTGTGTGATGAGGGAATATGGCTTTTTGCTGTCAGATGGGTGATGAATTTGGTACTGCAAGAGGGGGATGGATTGTTGCTTTAAATTAAATAATAAGACTCTTTTAAAGAAGTTAGTTGACAGGCTGGAATTTGATGTGTTGTAATTCTTTAGACCTTAGCCTTTGATGTTTTTGCTCTAGCACTTTCTTTCTCTAGATGTGAATTTGTATATTTCAGTGAGTATCTTTTCTCTAGATATGAATTGTTATTTTAATTTATAAATTATAAGTTTATAAGTTTATTTGTTTAGAAATTTAGTAATATGAGTGTTTAACTTTAACTATTGTTTTAATGTTTGTGTATTTATTTGTAAAATTTTAACCTAATTTGTTAAAAAATTGATAATTTAATATATGAATTTCGTATAGGTATGAATTATTGTTTTAATTTATAAAGGCATGACCGTATGAGTTGTTATTTTAATTAGTATTTAGTACTAATGTTATATTTTGTTGTAACTTAAAATTTTGGTAGAATGGTAGAGTTTAATATGTAATATGTTTTAATGATTGTATAATTGTAATTTATTTTTATTGAGCTTGATAGTAATTAGTCACTTTAGTTTTTATTTTGAATTGTTATTCTATATAGTAAATTGTAGTTGTAATATTTTTAATTATTGATTTGTTTTACTATTTTTAGGTATTTGAATTTTTACAATGGATAAGTTTGTATCCAAATGGAAGAAGCCAGTTTCATCTTCATCAAGTAATGTGGATTTAAATGATAAAGATAGTGGCAAAAGACAACGAGTAGAAGTGGAATTGACGGAATATGACATTGTTGGTGATCCGGGATTGCGAAAACCTATTGATGATTATCCTTTTGCTATTAGAGATGAATTGAGGAGACGATACTTGGCAAAAGGTCCATTTCAACCACATGATCACAATTTTCCGAAGTCTAGTTTTGGTAAGAATATGAGATCATTTCAAAAGGCATGGTTTACGCAATATGATTGGCTCGAATATAGTATTCAGAAGGATGCCGCTTTTTGTCAAGTATGTTATTTGTTTAAAAGGATTAATACTCGTTGTGGAGATGATGCTTTTACTGGTGTTGGTTTTAAAAATTGGAAGAATGCTTTAAATAAATTCAAGGAGCATGAAGGGGTTTAAATAGTCCACATCGTAATGCTATGGTTCAGTGTTCGTCATTTAGAGACCAAAGGCATAATGTGGATTATGTGTTATCACAAAAGGGCACTGAAACGGAGATTGACTACCGCGTTCGGCTAACGGCGGTTGTGAAAGTTGTTCGATTGCTTTTAGGGGGAGGTTTGCCATTTCGTGGACATGATGAGTCAAAAGATTCAATACGAAAAGGTCATTTTCTTGAAATTTTGGATTGGTATTGTGAGGAGAATGAAGAAGTGAAGAAGGTCATGAACTTGAATGCTCCCGGGAATAATCAGTTGACTTCTTCAAAAATTCAGAAAGAAATCATCAATGCTTGTGCTACAGAGGTGAGGCAAGTTATTGTTAATGAAATTGGAGACAAGTTTTTTTCTATTTTGATCGATGAAGCTCGGGATAGTTCAATAAGGGAGCAAATGGCTGTCGTCGTGAGATTCGTGAACGATCGGGGAGAAGTGATCGAGCGATTTTTGGGAGTGGTCCACGTTAGTGACACCTCGGCACACTCTTTAAAAGGTGCAATTGAAGAATTTTTTGCAAGAAATGGATTGTCACTTTCTAGGCTTCGAGGTCAAGGTTACGACGGAGCTTCCAATATGCGAGGTGAATTCAATGGTCTTAAAACTCTTATTTTACAAGAACATAAACACGCATTCTATGTTCATTGTTTTGCTCACCAACTTCAATTAGTGGTTGTAGCAACTTCAAAAGAGAACACGTGTGTGAGTGATTTTAGGGATTATCTTGTAAGGATTGTGAATCTTGTTGGAGCTTCATGTAAAAGAATGAATGCTATTCGACAAAAGCATTACAATGACCTTGTACAACGTATTCAAAGTGGTGAGATTTCTACAGGGACCGGCTTGAATCAAGAAACAAGTTTAGCTCGACCGGGTGCTACGCGTTGGGGATCTCACTATAGGACAATCAAGCGGATGTTGGAAATGTGGGATGCGGTACAAGACGTTCTTGATACTATTGAGAGTGAAGCCACAGATTTCCAAAGTCGAGGCGTTGCTAGAGGTTTGATTGCTAAATCAACAACTTTTGAATTTGTATTCATTGCTTATTTGTTGGTGACAATATTGGATAAAACAAGCGTACTTTCGGCGGCCTTACAAGAAAAAAGTCAAAATATTGGTAAAGCCTTCGTTTTGATTAGAACGTTGAAGGAAGATTTGGGAAGTTTAGGGAGGATGGTTGGGAGGAACTTCTTGAAAGTGTCAAGGAATTTTGTTCTCAAAAAGGCATTTTGGTGCCTAATATGGAAGATCATTTACCGGGTCGGCCTAGGTCTAAAAGACAAGTGGATGACCAACCAAAGACTTATTTGCATTTTTTTCGACGAGACATTTTTCTTCCGGTAACTATTTTTCTTTAATTTCATATTAACATTTTTTTTATTATAGTGTTAATAATTAGCTTATTTTTCTCAATTTAATAGGTTGTTGATCTTATCTTACAAGAGATGGCTAATCGTTTTGGAGAGTTGAGTACGGAACTTATTTCGTGCATAGTCTGTCTTGATCCTAGAGATTCTTTTGCTTGCTTTGATCATGAAAGACTGCTTCGTCTCGCTCAATTATATCCAAATGATTTTGATGATGAGTTCAAACTGAAAGAAGAATTGAAACACTATATCTCGATAGTCACAATACAAGAGCGTGCATTTTTCTCTGATCTTCAAAGTATTGGAAACATTGCAAAAAGAATGGTTGAGAGAAAGTGGCACACTGCTCTTAAGTTAGTTTATTGGCTTATTGAGTTGGCACTAGTTTTGCCCGTCGCACCTGCTACTGTTGAAAGAGCTTTCTCCTCGATGAAGATTATCAAGAATGATTTGCGCAACAAAATGGGAGAGGATTTTTTGACGGATAGCTTGGTGTGCTACATTGAAAAGGAAATCTTTATCAAAATTGAAAATGAAGTCATTTTGCGGAGATTTCAGAACATGGCGTCCCGAAGATTTCAATTGCCGCGTGCCGATCTTATTAGTTCTCCTTTGGTTGGAAGCTATATTGTATTTTTATTTTTTATAATGTTATTTGAACGATAATTTAAATAGTTTGCATTTATTTTTGTGTTTGTGTTTGGTTTTGTCGTGAAAATTTTTTTAAAGGTAAATTGGGCCCTCCCCGAAACAGGATCCTGGTTTCGCCACTATAATTTTAATAATAAAATCATAATCATTATTAAATAATGACAAAATATTTTTTTTTAATAGAATCATATTTAATTATATTTGAATAGAATCGTAATTTTTTATTATTTTATATATAATTCTCATAGTTATGAATAGATCTCACTTAGGCCATTAGTCCAACAGAAAAGACCTCGTTCTTTAGTGGACCAAAGTAGAGGTGTATATTTTTTAACGAATCAAAGTAGATGTATTGTACGCACGTTAATTTTATATTTTACGGGTTTAGAGTACTAACCATGGCCATGGGTTGGTCCGGCCCGGCCCAGAAGTTGGATCTCCAACGGTCAAAAGTTTTTAACGACCTGGGTTGCCAACAATCCAATACCGGGCCACGACCCGAGTTGACCCGGTCAACAAATAAAAAATAAAGGAAAATATGGTGGGCCATCTCGTAGGCCGACCTGGACCCGACCCACCTGGTGAAATTTTTTTCACATGAGGCCATAATTGTCCAGTCAAACTACGGGCCGATTAGATCGATTTGGGTCGAATTGGCGGGAGGGGTCATCCCAACGTCGTGAATAGTATGATGAACCCGTAAGATATAAACAGGAACGTGCATACAAAAACCCTATCATAAGTGTCTAAATAACAATTCTATATCCTTTTAAAGATTTGTTGCATGGGTTGATGTTAGGTGATTATTGCAAGATACGTGGGAAAGTAGTTTGGGAGACATGAGAAAAAAAATCAAATTATTGAGAAAGCTTTCACATTAGAAGTTTCTGGGTACTAATAGCTTTGTTTAAAGAAGTTTGTTGTTGTTCTAAGCTTTCTTCTGGGACGTTTGTTTGGATTTAAAGCGTAGTTATCAGACGTTCCATAGGGCTTTAAGCTTCCTTTTGCGACGTTTACTTTACTTCCAAGCTTAAATCTAGGACGTTTGTTTTCACAGAGGAGCATCGGTTTTAGACGTTTTATTGGCCACCAAGCATAGCTTCTACACGTTTTCTTTCATATGCAAGCTTCAATGACAAAAGTTTCAGGTGACCACAAGCTTTCTAGTTAGATGTTTACTTGACGTCCAAGCTTAGTTCTTGGACGTTTGATTTCACAGTAAAGCTTTCTTGTTGAACGTTTTGACTTCAAAGGAAGCATTCATATAGGACGTTCGGCATGCTTTTAAGCTTAACTAGTGCAAGTTTCACCTTGCTTCAAGCTTTCGACATAGACGTTTCCCTGTACAATAAGCCTTCAATTTAAAAGTTTTAAATGTGTTGCACCTTGTCATTTAGACGTTTCTCTTCAGAGTTGGGCTTCGCATTTGGACGTTTGCTGGGCTTCTAAGCTTAGCCTTTGGACGTTTGTCTTCACAGTCGGGCTTCCTTTCGGGACGTTTTTGTGACTAAGAAGCTTAGCTTCTAGACATTTCTTTGGCTTTCAAGCTTAGCTTCTGGACGTTTGAATGCATTTTTTTCCATTAACTTTTTTTTTTACCATAAGGATATTTTTGTAAATTTATAATTTTTTATTATTATTTTCGGGCGACAAGTAGTAATTTGGGGCGACAAATAGCAGTCCTGAAAAAAAAAAGGTAATGACATGACCATAAAAAAGATAAATAAAAAATAATATAAATAAAAATAAAAAAGATAGCATATAAAAAAATATTATTATATTTCTAGTCCAATTCTGTTTTTATTTCCATATGTGATAATTGTGCCAGAAATTTTAAATTTACTCTCTATTTTTTTTTATCTATATTCAAATATTTTATGACTTATAGACTTTTATATTTTAATAATTGATATGTCGTATAAAATTACTTGTATTTTTCATCTCTTGTTTTAGTTTTATTTTAGTTTCTATATTTTTATTTTTTCCTAATAATCATGTTTTTTTTTTTCCAAAACGACAGAGGAACTATTATAAATTAAAAGCGCACAAAGTGCGAATAAAGATACAAATCTCCCAATGAGAGAATAAAGTGGGAGGACAGGTCAACAGACCGCCTAGAATCCCGCTAGCAATGCTAGAAAAGAAACACACAACTAAACTAACTAGCAACACAAACAACTAAAAAACTAAAACAACTACCCGAGTGTCAGACCTCAACAGAGTAATACCCAAGTGTCGGACCCCAACAGGGTAATAAGGTGACACTCGGGCGAACAAATTGACACTCGGGCTCACAAGGGCCAACGACAAAAACCAAAAACACACGACACGGACAAAACAAACACGAGCAAACGCGACGGAAAACTAAAAAAAGAAGACACAAAACGAGCAACAATACTACTAAGAACAAAGAAAAGAGCCCTTCCTCGGCAGCAACACCTAACCAAATCGGCGGAAACAAGTCGTCCATGAATCCCGTAGCCAGAAGTCCCACCCCGAAACTGCCAAAACCACTCGGTTGCCTAACGGAGACGAAACCTCCACCCGGAACTGCAACAGGCCAACCCGCACCACGGTCACAGCACCCAATTGCCCAGAACAGACAAAAGAAAGCCACGACCCCAGCCCCGACCCCAAATCGCCTGGAAGGTACCCAACAACCACGACACCACCGCAGCAACCCCTCGACCAACACCACTGGAGGAAGAATTGACGCGACGACCCCCATTGACCCTAAAACTGAGTACAAGGGGATGGTCTTGAGCACCCTTTCCGCCTCGGTCACCTAGCACAACGAGACACCGAGCAATCGAGACGTGTCCTGCCCCAGGAACCGCACCACGGCTCCACCACCGCACAAAAGAGAGAAACCTTACCGAAAAACGCGAATCGGCACCGGAATGACACCATCCATCCACGCCCGTCGAGGTCTCGATCCATTGGAATCAGAAGATGAAGCAGAAAAAAGGGGGCAGGATTCAAGCGATTAGGGGCCCGCGACCGCCGGCTAGGGTCGATGCCCACTGAGAAAGGCCAACGTCTTCAAATTGGACGAGAGACGATGAGGGAGAAAGCGAGGGTTTTCTGTTCTGAGGGACGCGACCTTTTTTCAGTTCCTAATAATCATGTTTGTAATATTTTTCTTAAATTGATAGTTTTAGATATTATGAGTGCATAATTGATATTTAGTCTTTTAGTCCCAAAATTGATAGTTGGCCATATGTAAAATCGAAAATTGATAAATTTTATAACTGAATTGATATTTATAACTCATCTCCCGTTACTCTAAATTGTAGGTTAATCATATTTAATATGCGTCTCCCTTTCTCTCTTAACGTCTCCCTTTCTCTCTCTCCCACAAAAACCAGATCCCCTTTCCCGTCACTCCCCCTTAGCCTTCTTGCAGGCATCAGCCCCCGTTTCTGGTGTGGCCGAGGTCGGAGGATGCTTTTCCGCCTCAATTTCAGTCGGGCGTGGGCCGATTTTGTAGCGGCTCCCGGAGTTGCTGCGGCGTGGCTCTCGTTTCGGCTCAAGTTGGGTCCATCGTGCCCTTTTTTTCCTCCTCCGGCCTCATGCTCGGCCGGGAGTTTCTCCCTTTGGCCACCTGATTCTGTTTTCTGGTTGGAAGCTCCCGGAGGCTAAGCTGTATTTCTTGGCCTCGACGGCGGTACTGTGTCTCGTCGTTGCCGTTCTATGCGTGGGCCTTTTCTCTCCGGTGCGGATGTTCTATGAAGGCCATATCTGAACTGAGAATTTACTCCTCGTCAGATCTGTCTAGGTGACTTGAGTTTCGTAGCACTTTTTGGGTCTGGGGTTTCGGTCTGCTCCTCTCTTGGGCTTATGTGCGGTGGACTTTGGCTTGCGCGCTGGTTCGGGCGGCTGTGTGTTCTGTGTGATTGATGTAGGGGAGGTCTTATTATTAGTGTATGTTTTTAGGTGTGTGTTGTTTTTCTTTTTTTTTTTTCCATTTTTGGTGGTTTGTTAGTGCAGTTTTGTCTGCTTTTAGTGCAACTTTGTCTGCTTTTAGTACAACTGTGTCTGTTTTTGCTTTGTGGTTGTTTGCCTTTTTTATGGAGTTTGTACCCATTGTGTGTGTTGACAAGGGGATTGGTCTAGTTTTCTGGTTTCAGTGTGTTATTTAACACTTCGGTTGTACTATTTTCTTTTTTTTAAGTTATTAATATAATTGCCGTTAAAAAAAAAAAACTCATCTCTCAAAACTGGAGACCAAACTTTTCTTTTTCCCTTTTAAACAATACTCCAATATTTCCAAAAAAAATATGTGGCTCGTTTGACTTGAGTATATAAAAGGCCAACCACGATATG